GTTAGTAAAATTTTAACTAGACGTTGTAGAGTCTTTTATTGTGTTATAAACATCTAATAAATTAATACTATATTAAGTGAAAAAAAAAATTTATATGCGGTATTATTAAAAGAAGAGGTTATACAATTTCAAAAACCTATTCTTGGATAAACGTGACATAAATTGATTGCTTCTTTTTTTTACTTATATTATTCAAGTTTATTGAGTCAAAATAAAGTTCACTTTAGAAAATGTATTTTTTTAAAAAGTTTTATCTTTGGTATATATATCTTTTGCAAAAGTGTCTCTCTTGAGAGAAATCTTTCGACTCTTAACATTAAGAGTTCTGTAATTACAAGAAAAAAAAAAAGAAAAGAATTTTAAATACTTGCACCATAAGTTTTCCATTATTGAATTTAACTTATAAATTTATCTCTTATCTTCAATTTAACTTATTATTTGCTTATAATTAGGAATATAAAATTACAATTTATAGTTTAATTAGTAAACTTCAGCTTTTAGTTTACAATTTTTGAATTAAAAGAAACAAATTCGAAGAAAATAATTATTTATTATTTTTATATTGCTATTTATTCATATTATAATAATTTTATATTATATTATTTATATTTATTATTAAACTTATTTATTTAATAAAAATTTTCTGCGGTCTAAAAAATGATTCATTTTTAAAATAAAAAAAATTAATAATAAACAAAATATAATTATTTATAAAAAAAGTAAATCATTTTTTACAGAAAAGATAAAATCTTTTTCATGTCGAATGCAAATTTAATCTAAATAAATTCAAGAAAAAATAATAACACAGGCACACAAAAAATAAAATCAAAAAGTTAAAAAAATTTTGAATGCCACTGCGATAGTGTAATTCCATGTATTTTTTGTCGCTGAATCCGAATCCAAAGTCAGAATTGTTAGATTCGCTCAAATTTTTGAGATAATTGCAAAAAAACACAAGTAACAAAAAACTCAAAATACTCAAAATCAGTTTTTTGGAATTATCTTCAAAATTTGAGCCAATCTGTCAATTCTGACTTCGAATTCGGATTCAGCGTGAAAAAATACATGAAAATGCACTATCGTAATGTTTCAGCAAAAAAAATTATCTGTGCCCCTAATTCAGAATTTTTATCAGTTTTTGGCGATTTTAGCTCAAAGAAATTTTTTTTTGCCGAAACATTACGATAGTGCATTTTCATGTATTTTTTCACGCTGAATCCGAATTCGATGTCAGAATTGACAGATTGGCTCAAATTTTGAAGATAATTCCAAAAAACTGATTTTGAGTATTTTGAGTTTTTTGTTACTTGTGTTTTTTTGCAATTATCTCAAAAATTTGAGCGAATCTAACAATTCTGACTTTGGATTCGGATTCAGCGACAAAAAATACATGGAATTACACTATCGCAGTGGCATTCAAAAATTTTTTAACTTTTTGATTTTATTTTTCTTTCTGAGCAGTTTTTTGAGTTTATCTCAAAAATAAGAGCAAATCTGATAATTCTGACTTCGGATTCGGATTCAGCGTGAAAAAATACATGAAAATAGACTAGTGTAGTGTCTCGGCCAAACAACTTTTTATTTTTTGTGTGCCTGTGTAATACGTCATAGTGAATTATTTTTTCTTCTTCGCTTTTCTTTTTTTATTTATTTATTTATTTTTTTTTTGAGTAACAAGATTTAACAAAAATAAGTCGAGAGAAATGCACTTTTAAGTTGGAGGAAAATAAAATTAAAGGGTAAAAATTGTGCAAAAGCTTACAAATGAAAAAAATGAGGTTTTATAATAAATAATGTTTGTAAGGTGTAAAATTTTTCACACCAAGCAAAGAAAAACTTAAGACATCGTACAGCTTCTTTTATGACTCTTCTTTTGATAAATTGCGTCATTACATCTTGTACACATAGCACGAAAAACCACGATTTCCATTAAAAGTCTTGGAGATTTACTTTGTAATATTAAACTTGAACAGTAGAAATACTATTATGAATATAAGTTCACTTGTCTTAAGGAAATATAAGACTCAATTTGTTGTAAAATACTCTAATTTAAATTTTTATTCTTTATTTTTTAATTTTAAAAATTTATATTTTCAATTTAATATTTTCACAGACATTTTACATTATTTTTAATTTATTTTCAGTAGTATTAAATAGTTTCAGTCAGACAATTTTAATGGCTTAATTTTATTTTAAGTAGTTAAAGGGGGTTTTAATCAGGACATGTGCAATTTTTGTTTTTATTTGCGTTTCAGTAGTAGAAATCAGTTTCAGTCAGACATAATTTGTTTAATATGTTTTTAATTTTCTTTTCAGTATTAGAATTTAGTTTTAGTCAGACATGTATATTTTCTATTAATTTTTTTAAGTAGTGTAAAATAGTTTTAGTCAGACGTAAGTTTTTAAACATATTTTAATATCAGATCCTTGTTAATAAAAATTATTTCAATAAATAATTATCCTTTATTTTTAATATGAAAAATATTGTTAGATTTTTTTTTCTACTCTCGATGTTTGTTTTTATTTATTTTTTTTTGTTTGTTTTTTTTTTGTTTTAGAGTACATTTTCATGTAACTTTAGCGTAAAATTGAGAATTTGCGATTTAATTTGAAGTATACAGTTCAAGTATATACCTTTTATATTTTATATAATATACGGCAATATTTTATCAATTTTGATTTAATTTAAACCACTCGAATAAATGTAAAATGAAATATATATTTTCTTTTCACAATTGGAGTAATATTTTTTTATCCACTAAAAAATACTGGTTATTTTTAGTGAAATTTATTATAAAATTTTTTTTAACATTTGTTTTTTTGTATTTCCCATTTTTTTTAAATTATTGCATATAAAAATCATTAAATTTTCATTAATCTCTTTCTGTTTGCTTTTTTAAAAATAAAAAATAAATTTTTTCCAAATAAACAAACATTTTAATAAATTGTATTAAATACCAAAAACTATTATTTTATTATTGTTATTACTATTACTATTTTTACTATTTTAACTGTTATTACTATTACTATTATTATTATTATTATTTTATAATTTTTTCTATTGTTAGTTATATTTTATTAATTTATATACAATATTAATCAATTAAATAATATAAAAATTACATTGAAAAAAAAAAATTATTTGTTTCATATACTCAATTACTTGACTATCATTAAATAAATATTTACTTGAATCAAATAACACAGGCACACAAAAAATAAAAAGTTGTTTGGCCGAGACACTACACTAGTCTATTTTCATGTAATTTTTCACGCTGAATCCGAATCCGAAGTCAGAATTATCAGATTGGCTCTTATTTTTGAGATAAACTCAAAAAACTGCTCAGAAAGAAAAATAAAATCAAAAAGTTAAAAAATTTTTGAATGCCACTGCGATAGTGTAATTCCATGTATTTTTTGTCGCTGAATCCGAATCCAAAGTCAGAATTGTTAGATTCGCTCAAATTTTTGAGATAATTGCAAAAAAACACAAGTAACAAAAAACTCAAAATACTCAAAATCAGTTTTTTGGAATTATCTTCAAAATTTGAGCCAATCTGTCAATTCTGACATCGAATTCGGATTCAGCGTGAAAAAATACATGAAAATGCACTATCGTAATGTTTCGGCAAAAAAAAATTTCTTTGAGCTAAAATCGCCAAAAACTGATAAAAATTTTGAATTAGGGGCACAGATAATTTTTTTGCCGAAACACTACGATAGTGCATTTTCATGTATTTTTTCACGCTGAATCTGAATTCGAAGTCAGAATTGACAGATTGGCTCAAATTTTGAAGATAATTCCAAAAAACTGATTTTGAGTATTTTGAGTTTTTTGTTACTTGTGTTTTTTTGCAATTATCTCAAAAATTTGAGCGAATCTAACAATTCTGACTTTGGATTCGGATTCAGCGACAAAAAATACATGGAATTACACTATCGCAGTGGCATTCAAAAATTTTTTAACTTTTTGATTTTATTTTTCTTTCTGAGCAGTTTTTTGAGTTTATCTCAAAAGTAAGAGCCAATCTGATAATTCTGACTTCGGATTCGGATTCAGCGTGAAAAAATACATAAAAATAGACTAGTGTAGTGTCTCGGCCAAACAACTTTTTATTTTTTGTTTGCCTGTGTAATTTTTATTTGAATCAATTAATTTATTTCAAATAGACAAATTATTGTTTCAAATAAAATTTATTTAATTCAAATAAAAATTATTTGATTCAAGTAAATATATTTATTTAATAATAGTCATGAAATATTGAGTATTTGAATGAAATAAATTTTTGTTTTTCAGTACATATTTTGTAAAATATAAAAATAATATTTTTTTTGGTGGGGTGGGTTAAATTATTTTTTGTAAAATAAAAAACAAATTTTGTTTGGTAAAATTATATTTTTGAATAGATGGCAAAACTTATAACTATACATATATATATATAGTGTTTTGGAGAAAAGTAGAGTAAACTTTATTTTATTTCAGTGAAAACATGTAGCAAGTCATAACCGGTGACTTTGCCCAGTAGTAGTTTCATGGCTCGGCAAAAGTGGAAGAGAAGCGACATATCAACGACCTACACAAGTGCATTGTCTCGAGCATATGGTACGTGAAAGATAACGTATGTAACTTCACGACAACAAGGCCTTCTGCAAGTACGTCAACAGGGTTTGCCAGCAACTAGTGGTACTGCTGATCAGGTCCAGAGTTTTGTGAAAGAGAGTGAGGTGCCAACATACATACACATACATAAAACTAATATATATAGAGAGAGAGTGGACCAGATTCGTGCATAACCGTTGAGAGAATTTCATGTGAGAACAGAAATGGAATATACCTTTAGGAAGTGGAGAGAGAAAAGAGAAAGAGAGAGAGAGAGAGAGAGACCAATGCAGGGGGTTGGCATTGCATCCCCTCCGAAGTTTCACCCTATCATTCTCTCTCTCCTTCTCTCCACTCTTGTTGGCCTCCTACTCGTTTTCTCATCGGAGATCCGCAGCATCCACACACTATTCGGGACTTCAGTCGCCGTTGAGACCGCGACAGCGCCGCGACTCGAACCAATTATATACATATACCAATCAGTGATCACTGATTTCAAAAAAAGGAAAAAGGCCGGTCATTCTCTCTCTCTCTCTCAAAAGAAAAAAAAAAAAAAAAATCATTAATTATTATTTATAAATATAAAAATCTCCAAAGATTTATGAAAATATTTCTTCCCCCTCTCTATCTCTCTCAAATCAAAGAAAAAATTTATTTTCTTCTAAATTTTCTTATTTTTGCACAATAAATAAATTAAAAATTTACCAACAATATCAATTTGAATATTAAAAATTTTTTCCAAGGAAAAAAAAATCATTAAATGAGTAAAAAATAATTCAAACAAATAATATTTTAAAAAATCAAAGAAATAATATTTAAAAAAGTAATTCAAATAAATAATACTTTTAAAAAAATAAGAAAATAATCTTTTAAAAAAGCAAGGAAATAATACTTAAAAAAAAGGAAATAATATTTAAAAAAAAAAATCAAATAAATAAAAAAAAAATAAATCAAGAAAACAATATTTGAAAAAATAATTCAAACAAGTAATATTAAATAAAAAATAATATTAAATAACAAAAAATCCAAATTTTATTGAAAAAATATTATTTTCCCATTTAAGAAAACAGTTTCCGATTGCCCATTAGTTTTTTTTTGTTTTTCTTTTTCTTTTAAAAAAAAGCGAAAGTAATTGGAGATTTTTTCTTCCAATCCCAACCCCCTCAATCATCATCGTTATTATCAACCCATAAAATGAGAGTGTACCGAATTGTTTGAAATTTTACCGAGATATTGTGGGAGAAAAAATATAAAACGATCACAAAAAAATAAAATTATACAGAGAATAAAAAAAAAAAAATTACAAGTGAAAAGCACGTGGAAAATAAATCGTGAATTGTTGAACACAAAAAATTTGGTGAATTTTCGGTAGACACAAAAAATCGTGAGATCATCTAAATAATAAGAAAAATAAAAGGGGGGAGGGAGAAAATAGAAAAAAAAATTTTTTTTTTGAAAATTTGAAAACAAACGAATTTGAAAAGAAGAGGAAAGAAAATTTTTCTTCAAGATTGTCGTGTGTTGTTGTCGAAAAAAAGAAGCGACATCGGGCCCGGATGCTCGCAAGAACGAGACGCCGAAGACGCTGTCACGTTGGAAGGGAAAATATTTACAGCCGTCAACAAGTTTCTAACATCCCCTTTGATTAACAGAGTCAAAAACCTTATGGTGAGTTTTATCAATTTATTTATTTTTCAAATATATGTTAATTGAAATTAAAAAAAAAAATTAATTTTTAAAATTATATTTATAACTTTTCTAAACTTAGTTTTAAATAATATTTATAAAAAATTTTTATAAAAAATGAGTGAAAAAAATTTAATTAATTAATAAAATCAATTTAATTGATTTATATAAATAATATATGAAAAAAGGGAGAAAGGGAAAATTTAAATTTACACAATTATAACGAAACATTCCCTTAATCAACGTTCTCCTTTAACAAAGTGAATTTTTCTCTTTCACATAAAATTTCGTTCACATTGAAAAAAAAATTTATTTGATATAAATAATCCATTATTTTATATTCAAATGAATATTTACTTATCAAATAATTGTTATTGTAAATTATATTTTCTGTTTTCAAATGCAGAAAATAAAAATTTGTTCTAATAATAAATATATAAATAAATAAATAAATAAAAAAGTAAATAATAAATAAATAATATAATTATTAATATAATTATAAATAATAATTATTTTGAAATATTTATTAGTTTTTTAATTATTTGCCAAAAAAAATTTATTTCATTTTTTTTTATTAAAAATTTTTATTTAATTTCTCATTAAATTCTATAAGAAAGTTTGAAGGATGAAATTATTTTATGATTTTATATTTTGCTATTCTCTCAAGTAATTTATGTTTTGATATATATATAACTATTTTCATTGTATGATTCTTGTGCATTGTACACATATATATCATGTTTTGTATCCAACGTATAATTGTAGGCAATTATCTAGCAATGAGTGTTTGCACTCCATTATGTTTCTTCAAAGTGTCAACGCTGATAAATCCCTTATCCTCTCCTTCAGTAATTTGTCTGTGGAAAACTTTTCCTCTAGAGATCCTTTGCCAGAACACCAAAAGCAGATCTTTAGAAAAAAAAACTTTTCTGTTTACAGGAAAAATTACCATTTCTTTTTAATTTGCAAAAATTAACTAAATTGCCTTTTTTTTAAACACATCTTCTCTTTTTTCTTAGTTTAAAAATTTTTTATACTCTAAAAAGATATTTCTACATTATTTATAATTAAAAAAATAAATAAAAATAAAAAACTAAAAAAAAATTAAAAATATAATTTAAAAAAATAATAATTAAATTTAAATAAATTCAATTGATTCAAATATATTTTATGAAAAATGTCAAGTTCCATTTATAAATTGACAATATTTACCTGTGGTTTATTTTAAAATTCATTCAATCTAAATTTAAAAATTTGCTTTTATAGGTATATATATATATACACAAATTGAATTATTTTACCGCTGATAATAAAAAAAAAATGTGAGAAACATTTAACCAAAATGTAATAATTTTCGTTCTGTATTTGATAAAAATGAAAATATTTTTTAATTAGTGAATGAAATAATACATTTAAAAATTTCCAAAACAATCGGATTTTTACTTTGAAACAATATCATGTTACGTGTGCACTGTGTTTAAAAAACATATATCCAATTTCAGTGGATTTTTTTATTCTTTAAAAATAGTTCAATTTTTATACATTTTATATATATGCATTTTTTTATAAATATAAGGCAAGTATTTTTTTTGAAATAATTTTAATAGAACAATGTAAACTTTTTTCCTTGTTGCAAATATTACGTTATACAGTTAAGCAAAAAAAAAGGTATCAGTTTAATACAATGTTCATTTTAATTATTAAATATAATATCTATTTTTTTACCTTTATAGAATGAAATTTCAGTATAAAAGTGACCCAGATTTTAACATTGGTCTATAAAATAAATGAATACTTTGCATTTGTTTTTTATTATATACTATAGAATATATATATATATATATATAAAGTCGCCGTCTCAATTTTTCATTGTTTTATATAATTATATCTAATTAACTTTATTACATTGCATTAAATTAATTATAATAAAGTTCATTTAAAATTATTATTACCGAATGGGAACTAACCTTTATCATCACAAAGTTGATATATGTTATACAAAACTTTAACATTATATTTACACTATTAAATTATTTTAAAATGAATTATAATAATAATTATATTCAAAATGAAAATTTTGAAATAGAAAATTTTTTATCTAAAATAAAATAGAAAAATTAAATTATTTTAATGAAAAAATTATTTTATGACAGGTTCTTTGTAAATTTTTTCCTCTCAATGTAATTTCTACTATTTGTAATTCAACCGATGGAAATGAACTGGTTTCTTTCAATTATACATCAGCTAAAGAATTTAGAAAGTTATATCGTATGACAGAAAATGTATTCATAAATTTCACTTGGAAATTTTTATAAATTATTGCAAATTTCGATCAAATGGAAAAATATTAAAATACATAAACGAATTCAATTTAAAAAATTGGATTATTTTTTATCATTTATGGTACACTACAAAAAAAAAATTTATATTTGTTTCTAATAATCGATTAACTATATTATTAAAAAAAAATATTTACTCGAATCAAATGATTTTTGATGGAAATATATTTTGAACCAAGTAATAATTGTTTAAACCAATAATTTTTCAGTCAAATAATTTTTTATCTAATTAATTTTTCAACCAAATAATTATTGAACCAAATAATTTTTTAATCGATTAATTTTTTAATTAAATAATTTTTATACTAAACCATTTTTGGAACCAAATAAGTTTTGAACCGAATAATTATTTTTGAACCAAGTAATTGTTGAGCCAAATAATTTTTTAACTAATTAAATTTTCAACCAAATAATTTTTGAACTGAATAATTTTTTAATAAAATAATTTTTGAACCAAATAATTGTTGAACCAAGTAAATTTTGAACCAAATAATTTTTTAACTATAAAATAAGTTTGGAACCAAATAATTTTTGAACCAAATAATTGTTGAACCAAATAATTTTTTAACTTTAAAATAAGTTTGGAACCAAATAATTTTTGAACCAAGTAAATTTTGAACCAAATAATTGTTGAACCAAGTAAATTTTGAACCAAATAATTTTTGAACTATAAAATAAGTTTGGAACCAAATAATTTTTGAACCAAATAATTGTTAAACCAAATAAATTTTAAACCAAATAATTGTTGAACCAAGTAAATTTTGAACCAAATAATTTTTTAACTATAAAATAAGTTTGGAACCAAATAATTTTTGAACCAAATAATTGTTGAACCAAGTAAATTTTGAACCAAATAATTGTTGAACCAAATAAATTTTGAACCAAATAATTGTTGAACCAAGTAAATTTTGAACCATATAATTTTTGAACTATAAAATAAGTTTAGAACCAAATAATTTTTGAACCAAGTAAATTTTGAACCAAATAATTTTTTAACTATAAAATAAGTTTGGAACCAAATAATTTTTGAACCAAATAATTGTTGAACCAAGTAAATTTTGAACCAAATAATTGTTGAACCAAATAAATATTTTGAACAATGAATTTTCATTGTTTTTTTCTGATTTAACAATTTAAGTGACATAATGAGATTAAAATATAATTTTTATGAAGAAAATTGAAAAAAAAGAGAAATGAAATATAATATTTTGAATTGCCATTAGAAGAGCACGTATCCTTGCATCGAAGTCGCCGTAGCGCTCTATAGAGTATATTCCCAACAATATAGTATCTTTAGAGTAGGTGGTTTCAGATCGTTAATCGTATCAAAGCTTGCGGGCAATGGATATTAGCTGAATTGGATATAGAGGAAGAGGAGGCTTAACTAGAGGTGGCACTGCATATATTACCCTCTAAATTACCGTGTTCACTGAACCCCTTGCCAGAGTTCTCATAAGTGCAAGCATTTATCCATAGAAAGTCACATGATCTACGATCGTTCATGATCATCCGTCTAAGGATGGATTTTCCATTTTCCAACTTCCTCTCTATTCTTCTCCTTCTATATATATATATATATATATAAGCTGAAAAAAAAATTTATTTGATTCAAATAATTAATTATTCAATATAATAATAATTTACTAATAATTATTCAATAATAATAATTGTTATTCAATAATTCAAATAAATATTCATTATGACTAAATAATTTCTATTTCAATTAAATAAATTATATTTGAGTCAATAATTTCTGTACACTCAAAATTTGAGTTAATAAAAAGTTTAATTTTACTAATTACCAAATTACTAAATAGTAAATTTTTTATACTAATTCAGATTTAGAGAGTATTTAAAATAAATAACTTTGCAATAATAATTATTTGATAAAAATAATAATATTTTGATAATAATAAACATTTATATTTTTATAATATAGTTAAGTAACGGATTATTATTTGAATAAAATAATTTTTTTTCTTTTCTATATTTTATAAAATAATAAAACATTTTTCAATATATAAAATTCATTAATTAGCAATGTACGTTGTTATACATATGAAATCGAGATGGCAAAAATATTACCTTGATTTTACAACCTAATAAACCCTTTGATTGAATTTTACACTTCACTGGATAAACTGTAATTTTATTTTTTTGCACAACCTTATATATATACCCAGATAACACACGTACTAGTACGGTAGTAGTATAATACTAGTACGACGTACTAGACGTACTAGTACTGTACCAGCCATGTACCTTCGCACGGTACCAGGTACTGTACTAGTACGGCGTACCGGTATGCAATATCGGTAGAATACGAGTACTATACGAGTACGACGTACTGAAAACTTTTGTGACTTAGTATAACGTACTGTTATTGTACTGGTACAATACTAGTATGATGTACAATATAAAATATTATATACCCTCCCCTTTCTCTTCCCACAATAGTATTTTCATTATTTTCATTTATTATTCAAAAGAAAATCATTTTTTTTATTTACATCATATATGTAACTTGTATTCTCACTTATCTTAAAATATCTGGTGTTTTATATTATCAAATATTAATTGATTATTTCTTTACATTTAAACATTATTTCAAAAGAATTTTAAACTTGATGTTATAAATTGCTT